ATATAATAAGTTGTTGTCTTTTTATTTAAATTAAAAAATGAAAATCTCATCCAAGGATACGCTGCAAGACTTGATCGTCTTGATCGTTGTTCGGAATTTGATCGATTATCATCAGATAAATAATTCTCATTTACTAATCTCGCAATAAAAGAATTCATTCTATTAAATGATGTCATACGCACTCTTTTTTTTTCAATATAATAATTATATAATGAAACGACAAAAAAGAACAGAGAATCCTTCGATAATCAATTCTTTACCAAATATTCGAATATAATATAAACAAATCATTTTCTAATAGAGATATTTTATTTCTAACAGTTAACTATTTATAGAGATAACCTTTTACTTTTTTAAACAATTAATCATTTACATTGAAATAAAAGCTTCTATTTTACATCGAATTATCTTTTATTTTCATTGAAAAATTTATTTTCTATTGAAATATTCTAATAAGATATAATATATGTGAAATCTCGTTTCGGTCTTCAAAGATGAGACAACTATCAATCTCGACATTTTTCGATTAGGATTCAATATTATTCTATAGTGACAATTTTATCTCGAAAATAAAATAAAATCAGTTTACCCGATTTTCAATAAGTATGGATTCCTTATTCAATATTAAAATTTATATCTATTTGTTTGTTTTATTTCGCTTTAGTCAATTGAACAATTTTCTGCTAAAACAAATCGAACAACATTTAGTATTACTTGATAAAATAATCGAAATTGAATTATGATAAGCACAAAATCGTTTTCAATCACGACGACAAACACTAAAGTTATCATGAATTCTTCGTTTTGTTTTTTATTGCTGTTTGATTAATTCTATGATAATATTAACAAAATACAACGCATTCTTCCCTTTTCTTTGAAAGAGATCGAGATAGAGAAAATTGATATTAATGTATATAAAGATAAAAAAAGTGAATTTAATTTAGGTTTTTTTTTCTCTTAATCATGAAGTTGGTAAAGTCAATGCAACACCATGTTTTATTTAACGTTATTTTAATTGATTTGTTGATAAATAAATAGGCATAACAAAATTTGTTGAATGACTCGTTGTTGAAAGTATGTCACGTCGTTCACTTGTTTTATATACTGAACATTCATATGTCCCATCGGTATTTAATTCATTTGTTTTTATGTGTCATATATATATTTTTTTTTTCTTTTTTTTTTGTCTTTCTCGCGTTCATAAATCATTGTTCATGTTGTTGTTATCATTGACGATCAATGATCAACATGCACAATGAAATATGTATATCAATTAACCTTTTTGAAATGAACTCTTAATTCATTTTCGACGAGAGAAAAAAAAATGATTTTTCAGCGTATATATACGAATGATTTTTTATGTAAAATCATTCAAATTTTTGAATCAAATAATAATCATTTTTCTTTTTCTATTTTAGATTGACCTCGATGATACAAAATTAATCAAATCAAGATGAAGCCATACAATAAAAAAAATGTAGGTATCAGTTTTAATTTTTATTCTTTTTTTTATTTAACGATTATAAGGATGGTGAAGTAAGACCTCCTATAATCTTTCCAATTTATTTTTTTTTCTTTTGTCTTAGGTTCGATGAATATTTTCAACTATGACAAGGTAACAGTGGGGTAAGTTAACTCATTCTTTTTTTTTGTCATTATATAACATTAAACTAATTTTTCTTTTTAGATAGTCATCGTCTTGCATTCAATATCAATTAATAGAATTGTAAGTATAGATTTCTTTATAGTTAGTGAGATAGATAAGGTATGAGTGAGAGTGAGGATAGGGCTACTCTTAGATAAGTGAGATAGAGTTATGGGTGTTAGTTAGATCGTCTTCCCAGGTTAGACGTTAAACACTGGCCAGGAACTATCTTGGTGTCCGTGGCACACGACTAGGCTTATTCAGACTCATTGACATATCTCTCGCGGGGAGGGTATGAATGATACGAATCTGTCGTGCGCGTGCATGAGCGTTACGCTCGCCACGGCTCCACCAGGATGGTTCCTGGTCGCGCGCGCGAATAGAATAGACATTCATTTCATCAATTCAATGCGATTTATTTGAAAAGAAAGGAACGCAAAACAAAATCTATCACGAGTCTATTCAATTGAAAAGCGTTGAATACGATTATTCCAATAATCGACGACATAGAGATTGCCATGTCGATCGAAGGACAAACCGATAGGACCACTCAACTGGACATTTTTACCCACAATGACAGTGCCCTGTTTCGCTCCTTTAGGCCAACGCATCACTCGATAATTCCACGAGTCTGCCACATAGATGGTACCCAATGTATCGACGAATAGTCCTTGAGGGTACCACAATTGTGTCAGAGCATTCCCTTGACCTTGACCTCCAGCGACGACAATTCCTTCTTTTGCACCTTTATTCCATTTCATTACACGATGATTGTAGTAGTCTGACACGTAGACAGTCTGTTGTTGATCGACAAAGAGGTAGGCCGGCCAGTTGAGTTGATTGAGACCAGCACCTTTGCCATTGCCACCAACCACGATAGTTCCATTCTTGTCTCCTATTTGATATCGTCTTACTTCATGTTTGTCGACGTCAGAGATGTAGAGATATCCCTGATCATCCATGGCCAATCCAAAACAATCGATGTTGTTGATGAGAATGTCTCCTTGAGTTGTCCCACTCCGGCGAGACCATCGTACGACTCGTCCAGTATTGCAAATAATGAGACTATCCGTCTCTTTGTCAATCAATACATCGCTTGGTTCATTCAATTGATCCAATCGATTTCCTTGGCCATTGCCACCAGCTACCACTTGTCCATTCGTATCGCTCATCTTCCATTGGATGATACGATGATTGCCGCCGTCAGCAATGACTATCGTTTGATCGTCATCAACGACGAGACCACAAGGCAAGTTGAGTTGATTGGTGCCACTACCCCCTCCATGGCCTCCAGCAACGGTCACTCCATTCTGTTTCCATCGGGCATCGACTGGAATATTGGGAATTACTACAATGAACAAAAAAGAAAAGAAATCATCGTTGTCGAAGGGATTGCGTCTCTCGTGAGAGCAAGCGCTACAAAATATGACATTCATCTTTGAGAATGCTCATTCCACAGATAAAAATTCAGAAGTCTTTTCCTAGTTTCCTATGAGAAAAAAGGATTTGGTAACGGTTCTTACATTTATGTTACTTCTAGTTCTTGCCAAGATCTTTTTGATCATAAAAATAACACCTTGAGATTGTTTTAAGGAGGTTCTCCAAGAAAGAGTAATACTAATTCCATGTAAATTTTTGATAGAAAAACATAAGGATCTGAGGATTTTATTCAGAATTGCAAGAATTCAGAATCTTTTGGCAGAATGATCATTTATATGAGCATCAGAGAAGATTCTATCTGCATCTTGTGAGAAGAATATTGAATCGTTGAACAACAAAATATCAAACCTAATCCCTATGTTTTTTAGGAAATCTTAAGGATACATGATTTTCTGTATGATGAATGTAGATCTGCCAAAGAATCTCCTAAGTATTTGCATAGACTTTTAGTAAGTTATGTCAAGCTGTTCGAAGAACACCCGTGATGTACTCTGAGTAACATCATGAGAAGGCTTGGATACAGACGAAACTGAACAAAGTTGAGAGGATTTCATGCGAATCCATTTAATCTGAGGGGACTTCTTCTTTTACAAATGCTGAAAAGATGGATGTCAATCCGAACGGAGTTCTCCAGTGACAAACATTGGAATCTATGGATTTTATGGGCTTTGAAAATCTAAAAATAATGTGTATCTTCTATGAGGATCATGCTATAATCCTTATGTAGTACTTGTTCTGAGAAGTCTTCTGTAAGCTCGCATGTTATGGATATGTTCAGGAGGATCTGAAGAGTAAATATTTTGAAATGGTTAATATCAGAGATGGGCAATTTCAACTCCGAAGTTGATGCTTTTTCTCATCAGAGTGAAAATGGAGTAGGAACAGGACAGAATGGAGGTGCCTATCTCGGAATTTAATGAAAACGTTTATAAAGCAATAAATTAATATGCTACTAATTTATGTCAATCGTAGATTTAATTATGTTCAAAAACTTATGTGTATTTAAGAGTGTTTTGGTAGAAGTTCAGTTTTGTAAAATCCGACTCGAATTGAAGTTAAAATGGAGTTGGAGAAAGACAGAGTGTAGTTGTTTATCTTTGCTTAGTACACAAATATCGATCCTAATCAATAGCCAGGACAACTTCTCTGAAATATTTTACTATAAATGAGACAGTATTTCTGTAACGTAGTCTTTAAAAAAAAAGCACATCGTAAGGAAATGCTTTCGATGTCGTGGAAGAGAAAACTGCTTAACATGAAATTCTAAGGAGATTTCTATGTTTTAGTTTAGTATTAGAATTTGAGAAGGAGATCTTACGATTCTTATTGTGATATAACATCTTTCAAGTAACAATGCTGTAGTTCTAGACTTATCAGAAAGTAAAAGCTCTCTCTCTCTCTCTCTCCTTTACTTCGATTCAATCACAACTCGACAAGGAGGGAATAGTTTTTCAGAGTGACTTACAATATACAAAAATTATAGTACTTTTTTTGTAGAGCTTGAAATATTATTGTATTTCGTATAGACAAGCCTTAGTTTTGAATTTTCTCTGTTTGGATAAAAATTGAAGGAAAACGAATATCATTCGCCTTTTAGTCTGACTTTTTGTAAATTGTATTTCAAATAATTTATAAACAGCTCATCTATTTTCACTGAAATTTTTTAATATATAGGTATATTTCTTGGTGTTGCATAATCATTTAAATATGGTCCAAAATATGTAGTGTTTTACGGCTAGCGCGCACCCAAGCAGACAGATATGCGGAATTTTGACGTTTTTTTGAACAAAAGTATCGACTTTTAGTCGATTTTGTATGTTTGCTTCTACTTTTTTTTATGCACAAAACTGATTGAAATGTTATTTCTAACGAAAAACACTCATTGTGCATAAGAAATTCAAATTTTTAGGCGAAAATGAGATACATTTTTTTTTATCAAAATTTTTTTGTGAGCAACTTTTTTTCACATAAAACAGACTTATGTTATCTTCGTCCTTCCTCCTTAAAATGAACAGAATCGCATCAAAATCTTTGTTGTCTGAATTTTCTACTGCTTCAAGGTATGCTATGTAGAAGCTGGAGTATTATATCAACTGAAAGTGCATTACTATATTTAAATAAGTCTACCGCATTTTATCAGAAAAAGATTTAGGAAAAAACTCACTGCTTATTGTCTATACCTCCATTCATTGACTATTACATTTTCATCTTAGTACTCATGTAAAGGATACCTCAAATGCAAACAATTATTCTTGTTTTTTTTTCTGAAAAATCATGTACATAGACACTAATTGGAAAGGTGAAGACGCTATTCTTCAGATTGTTTAACAAATGAAACATAAGCAGCTAGGCGATGTTCTCTTTGATTATGAAATAACAGGCGTCTTTTTTAGAAAATTTAATTTAAAAGTTAAACAGTCTAAATTATATATTTTCTTAAAAATTTAACGAAAACAGAAGGAATGCCAAATGTTCTACATATTTTCAAAGATCTAGCAGAAAACTTTTGACATCATTAATTATACAGGAAGAGAATGCAAAATAGTAAAAATGTTAATTATGAGCTACTTAAATAACCACATGTCGGATATGTATAACAAGAAATATAATCAACAGGATAACAATTAACAAAATCATGACACAATGAATGAATCTTCATACATTAAGTACAGAGTCGTCCCTCCCGCACATGCGAATGGATGAAGATTGGGATGTGGGTGTGGATTGTACTTCTCCAAAGACCCACACTTTTCACACCGGTGAGAGTCTTTTCCTGTTCGTGTTGTACCATACTAATATTCTGTCCGCAAGCATTCTATTTTAATGTGCTCAGTTTTCAATATTATCTATAACACACTAATACTTCTAAACAACACCGAAAATAAAACGTATATTGAAGTTTCATTATGAAAAGAAAAGAAAAAGATAGCGAAAGACGCTTTCTGACTTGTCTGTATTCTATTAACTAAGTCGAAAGAGAAACAATGCAAGAGAAATTTGGTTTTATATCCTGTCTGAATCATAGTTCAGCGATTATCATAGTAGAAAATACTGGATAAGAGTTGATTTGGTACGAGACATATACTCGACAGTACAAGGAAGAACTAGATTAAATTGTATATTGTTCGTTGTTGAACATTACTATTGTTAAAATTTGAAAGTAATTGATTTCCTTCAAAGGACTCCGATATTCAGAATTATTTCATTACACGTTATGATTATTTTATAGTCAAAACTGCGATTGAAAAAATTTATCAGGCGAATGAAAATCTCCGATTAAATATATGTCTAATTTATTTATCTTGATACGAATGAGAAAGATAGTTCTAATCGATGATGAAATCAAAAACATTTCCTATCTGTTCAAAAAAAAAAATTTCTTGTCTCTTCTTATTTATAGTATTGATTTTACTTAAAGAAAAAAGGTGGAAATTTCTTCCTCATCATTCCCATAACAGATAGAAGAAGAAAAAAAATTCTACATTTTTACGAATTAGTTTTATGATCTGCTCCTATTTTGCTCCTGCTCATTTTCAAGTGTTGTTTTAAATGATACTTTCTTTCGTATCTGTCTCTGCTACATGATATTCATACGACAAAATGAATTATTAAAATTTTTGTAACGATTTTTTTCTGTAGTTTAAACATTCTTTATAAAAGAAATGTTTCGAAACAAAATCGAAGATAAAATACATAGTACATGCTATTTTTCTATAAATAAAATGCACGTTTGAGATCGATTTTTCTATGTGATCATTTAGGGAGGTAAATTATATTATTGATTTTTTTTTTTTGAGATCTATAATAATTACAAAGAAATCAAAACTAAAACTATTATTGTCATTGGATAATTATGTCTCTCAGTATTAGGAAAGAGAAAACAAAATTGAATCTGTTGTAGTTTTCAGTTTTGGTCGTCAACTATGCCATAAATAGCATCAGTGAACAGGTTTAAATGTGAATAATAGAAAAAAAAGGACAAAGTGATAGTATTCAAGAAAAGATGTAATACATCATAGAATAGATCATATTGTATTCATGGTTCTCGTGAATATTTGAGTAAAAAATAAATTCAAAATTTGAATTATTTACAAACTGTATAGTGTACAAACTACTTCTATTGTGTATATACTTTTCATTAGAAACATTGACGAAAACTATGGAATGTTCGCATTTACAATGAATCGAGATATTCAATCATTTTCTCGTATACATTTTACTGAAGAACTTTCGTAAAAGTATATATGAAAAAAATACTTAAGAGAAAGATTACGGAAGTCATTTTTGAACAGTTTATGCATAGGAATCATTTTATAATATTTACAAAATGGCTAATGAATTTAGACTCTTCAATTGTAAATCATTTCCTCGCAAAACATGAATAAATGAAACATCATTTTTGATAGTTGAGTCGAATTTCTTTTTTATATATTGTTGCAATTATTATCTGTCATCGTTATTCTGTTGAAAAGACAATCAACTGGAATAGTTCGACGAGATTATCAGAGGACTATTTATTATTGAAAAGAAGAAGCATGATAGTAAAAAAAAATTCTGCTAGAGCAGAACGTTGTAAATATGTTCCGGTTCATTTTAACGTTGATCTATTTATCACAGTTTATCGTTATATGAGCAGCATCATGTATTTAAATTGATTCCGAGGATAACAAAAAAAAATGATTTGTTTACCATAAGACACTGAAACTTAATGCGTCAGTTATAGAGAAATATTTTTCATGCAGAGAAAAAGAAGATTTCAAATTGAAGTTAAGAAAAATTTCACTTAACAAAAATATTTAATTTTCTAAATGTTTTATATAGACTTTTCTCATTAGGGATATACACGTATTGAATTAAATATTTATTTAAAGCAGAACATGGGTAACTTTTACAGAGAATGATCATTTC